GGTTGGAATACCTTAGGCCCTCAACCATCAGGTTGGAATGTCAGCATACTATGGGTCCAGTCATCCTCAGGATGGAATATCCCATGCCCACAACCATTGAGTTGGAATGCCCACATACTACGAGTCCAATCATCCTCGGGATGGAATACTCATGGCCCACAACCATCGGGTAGGAATGCCCATGTATATTGGCTCTCGCACAAAGCAGATAAGCCTTAACCACCAATCAAACATGTGAAAATATATCAGATAGCCGCATAACAACCTATAGACAGACAAACTGATCTAACTGATCATAACAGCATAATAACATCCTACCTACCAGGATACCGATCTAACATATCTTACTAGCATAACATCATCCTATCTACCAGGATACTAATCTAACAGACCATAACAACATAACATCATCTTATCTACCAGGATACTGATCTAACAGATCATACTAGCATAACATATCAGGATAACAATCCAAAAGGGTTGTCGTTGGTGCCTTCGACCCTTGAGTATAGTGAGGAAGACTCACCTCACAAACGTCGAACTATAGTGATAAGATCAAACTCTCGAATCACAGCCGCGAACTCCACCATCTATATTTACCATATGACCACTTCCCTAAATTCCGAATTTACTAAAATACCCCTAGAAGTCAAACTGGTCAACCATTGGTCAAAGTCAAAGTCAACGGTCAAGGTCAATAGTCCATGTTGACCCAAGTCGTCGAGTGCAGCTCATTGACTAGGTCAGAGTTTGTCAGCGTCTTTTAAGAGCTACGATTGCTAGTCGGGATTTTAGAGTCGTACTTGCAATAATAGTTATTAGACTTATCCAAGTGGGAGACTGTTGGATTATGTGTCTAAGCCCATAACTATAATTGGTATGTACTTGACGCAAGAGTAACATGGTCTATTTCGGGTTGCATATCACAAGGACAATTTGATAGGATGGATACTTGAGTAAGACGTTACTTCTGATTTATTAATATATTATAAGTTCTAATATATTAATATGAAATCATATTATTTAATTAGTATTGATCAAGAATTAATTTGAAATTAATTATGTGATCAAAAGAGACTAATTAAATATATGGGGATTGATTTGGTAAATCAATGATTCTTATAGTGTGGGCCATTTGTTATTTAGGATGGGCTAAACCAATATGGTAGTTCATGGAGGTTTAACCCATGGAACCTAAGTAATATTAAAGGTCATGGGCATTAGGGTTTGCATGGATGTAACCCTAGACTTTTCCACACTATAAAAGGACTCCCTTAGAACCCAAAATCAGCCACTGGAGTTCTTGGAGTTCATTAGAGCTGATTTTGGAGCTAGCGACATCTCTCTCAAGTTCTCCTTTGTCCTAAGTGTGTTGTGAACTGTTTGAGGCATCACAATTGGGGTGCTAAGTTCTTAAAGGCCAAATACAGTTCTACAATCTACATAAAGAGGTAAACTCCTAACTAGTATTTTATGTTGTTAATGTCAATTGTATGCTAGTTGTAGGCTTAATGCTTTGGAAACAATATTGCATGTATAATTAGAGAAAACATAGATCTAAAGCATTTAGGATTGTATGTGCACTATAGGATGTTGTAATATACTAAAACCCAACAAGCATGGCGCTTCACATGCCCTAAACCCCCCTGAAGGTTAGAGAGCACGTCCCGATCAAAGCCACAATCTCAACGCGAAAAGCATTCAATCTCTCATCAAGAATCTCCAAAATACCCTCCTTGACCGTGCAAAAGGTCACATGAGTCTGATCAAGGATATTGCGCATAATCTTAGATGAGATGAACTCCCTTATTTGGTTATCAAGCTGCCCGACTTTAGAACCTGAGGTTGAACCCTCTCCAGCACCGGAACTACCCACTGACCTGCCTCGCAACACCACCATACTGAAAATAGTCCATAAAAACTATCAGAATACACATCAATACACACATCGGGGAAACCACAACCCAAAAGCTTCCTGATCTTATCGTAACCCTCCTTGAATCGAGTATGGATCCTCTGCTTCCAGTAGTACGAGCCCATACTACCTTCCACATCTATCTGTACTTTCCTAAAGAATTACTTTGACTCGAACGTATGTTGCGCATACCTCCTCATACGTTAAACGTACGTGAAATGCCTCTGCATTCCATAATGGACCATTACGCCCAACGTACACCATGCTTACGCCTAACGTACAACCTCAACAAGCCCAATTAAATAAGGCCCAACACCACTAAGCCCATACAATTTGCATAATTAAACAATTAGATAAAGGAAAAAGTTAAATAATACCTTGGAAGCATCAGGAGTTACAAAGAAACTTGAAGATTTTGATTGATGAATGACCAAGCTTGTGATGCCAAGAGAGAATTGACTGATGTGAGCTACTTGTGGAGGTTATTTATGTACGAAGAGAACAAATGGAAACATAGTAGATATCATTGATGTTCAATCCTTGCATAAGTGGCGCCCCCGTGCGAATGTCCTTAACCAAGAAATAATATGGAAAAAATACAATAGAAACTTGGTTAGATTTATGGATTTTAGCCACATAAATAAGATTGTTTCATGATTGAGGGACGAATAAGACATTGTGTAAGTTTAAAGGACGAGAGGAAGTAGGAAGAATGGTGTGACCAGTGTGAGAAATAGACAGTCCTTTACCATTTCCTAATATAAATTCATCCGGTCCACCATATTCTGATAGGGTATGAAACAACACGGGATTAGATGTAACATGCTGAGATGCACCGTTGTCAAACATCCAAGGTGGTGTTTGAGATGTTGATCTTGCTGAGGAGGTGTTCACCATTAGGTTTGTTGGTAGGTTTATGGATATGGTGATGTTGTTTTCCTTAAGAAAAAGTGCTAGCTTTCTGCAATTTTTAGTACTCTGCTCATTAATATTAGAATACTAACAATCACTAGTATTATGATTATCTCTCTGAGTGTTGTTTCCACAATATTGTCCAGAAGGATGAGATGGCTTACCAAAATTATTGTTTTTGAATTTGTTTGGAGTTCAATTTTCATTGCCTAACCTTGGGGGATAATGATGTGAGTATTTTTGTGTATTGTTAACTGTAGCAATGATGGGGGTTGACTAAGTTTCTTTCAAAGTTATTTCATGATTGATCACTTTGTCAAAGGGATCAGGAAAAGTGATAGGTGTATCTATGATTTTGAGAGCAGAGGAGACATGAGTGTAGTCATCACCCAATTGACCCAAAATATGAATAATCAAATCTTCTCCATGGACAAGACTTTGTGATAATGCAAGTTCATTAGCAATGGACTTCATGTCGTGGAGAAATTTAGTGATTCGTGTACCTTTAAGATTATTTACAAGTCATGATTTTAATGAGATTATGCGAGACCTTGAAACACTTGCATAACTTTCAGTTAGATATTTGAAGGCTTGGCATGGTATCTCTGCAGAAAAGACAATTAGTTGAATGGTTTTTGAGCAATTTCCAAGTAAAGCACCAAGAAAAATTTGATCTTGACGAAACCAAGGAAGATATGCCAGATTGGGCTTTGTGATTTTAGAGGGTAGAAGTTTCGGTGGGGCTTCAGTGGAGTCGCCGATATAACCATTGAGACCTAGCCCAGTTAGGGTTGCAAGGATTTGCTTTCTCAAAACAAGAAAGTTATTTGAAGTGAGCTTGATCGGAAAATGAGTATGTGCGTTGACTTCAACAATGGTTGACATGGCAATTGAAAGTAGCGTAGGACCGGAGCTGAAAAACTCAAGGGAGCTATTTGAAGCTTGGATACCATACAAGAAGGAAATAAATATGATTGAAAGATTTGATTTCATTCAGTGATTTACATGCCATATAGAGGCTGGTACAAAGTTGGAAGAGATCGATTCTACAAGAATATATTTAGGATCTATTTTACCTCTTTAACTAGACATTTAAATACATTTAAATATGCATTTGCATAAGATTTCTTCTACACGTGTTATATTGATGTCCTCGGTTGTTGTGTTGAGTCAATAGACTCTATATTCTTAATACAAACAACTTTGGAGAAGGTCTTGATGATGCTTCAACATAGAGTTAGTTTTAATGTATCACTAGTTGAGAGGCTCATGCAAATACAAAAAAAAAAATGCCCGGTCGTAATATAATATGTTTGGTGGGAATATTTTTCTTTTGGACACACTTATATATATATATATATATATATATATATATATATATATATATATATATATATTCAGTCATACATGCAGTCGTCAAGCAAATCACACATTTCCAGTAAACCGTGACATCCATGTAGTTTAGAAAAAACACTTGGTGATGTAAAGCGATGATGCAACACAATCAAAATCCTTACTATAATGGTTTAAAATAGGTTAGTCTGATTCCATTAAACTATCTACTATTGATGCCGATCTACTGGTGATCATGTTGTGTATTCCGATTCTGATATCTCTAATGTTTCTGCTTGAATCTCGTCATACTTCTGAGTATGTACCCAATGTAACAACATCACAAACTCACCTCTACCCCCACTAATTGGTGATGAATTCAAAAGTCTATGTAATTTTTGAAAGTCCAACTATCCTCCACGCTAAAGTTGTACTAGTTTTTGTTGTTGTTTAGCTATACACTTCTTAACTACATACAATTATAACTAGAATGCTAAGAAGAATGAAAGGCCGAGAAACATCCAAAACATTTTCAACAAAATCAAGAAACATTAAATAGAAACCGACATCTAAAACAACTACTCTTATTTTTCAAGCCAACCTTATTATTATCTCTTAATTTTTTTTAACAAAATTAATACATATTTTTTCTTTTTTACGATTTTAACACTCATAATCATTAGTTTGTAATGCTTTGTTACAATATATATCTAGCTTCTAATAATATAGTAACAACATAAAAAAAATCCATAAATAATAATCAGATTTCTTTGGACTCGACCCGACCCGACGGTTGGAAGAGTAAAAGGGCCTTCAAATTTGCCGACACCGAAAATTGTGAAGTCAAACGCGAAAATGTTTCAGCTTCCATGAAGGGAAAGTCTATGGTTAAGACTTGATTCTACCAAGATCTCCCTTCCCTCAATTATTTAGGGCACACTATTCGGACACTAAAATCTCCTTCAATCTTACTCTTCTTTCTTGCTAATTCGACGCAACAATGTCGAATTTCTCTCGCCAGATTCGTTTCACCTCGTCCATGATCAGAGGCTTACAGTACAGGATTTCAAGATCTTTCACTACGATTGAAGGCCATCGACCTACCATTATTCATAAGCAAGGTCTCGATATTCTTCATGATCCGTGGTTTAACAAGGTAAAGTTGCATGTCATTATGAAGTTCGGATCATGTTTTGCTTGTAATGCGAGTTGAGTTGCCGAGATTGAAGTGTTTTTTAACGCAGTTAGTGATGGATTTGTAACTTGGAACTTGAAGCTTAAAGTTTTAGTTCCTTATTGGTTACTGTGATAGTTTTGATTAGTTTATACACGAACTATGATTTTCAGTAAATGTATTGTTAACCAAAGCAATTTTGTTATCAGGGAACAGCATTCTCCATGACTGAACGAGATCGTCTTGAACTACGAGGACTTCTACCTCCAAATGTCATGAGCAATGAACAACAAATTGAACGCTTTAGTAAGTCACTAAAACAGTAAAACTTCCTTTTTTTTACATTATTACTAGATATAGATATGTTAAGCCTTCTATTGCACAGTATTTTGGTATGCCTAATTATGATACCAGATAATCAACCACTGAATTACTTTACCATAATCAATTGAACTACTTCTTTCATGGAGTATAAATCAAAACTATTTTGTTAAAATTACAGTGGCAGATCTGAAGAGACTTGAGTTGAATGCAAGAGATGGTCCATCAGATACAAATTCATTAGCCAAGTGGCGAATACTTAACAGGCTACATGACAGAAATGAAACAATGTACTATAAGGTGAGTAGTTATTGAGAGCTTAAATATATGCACTTTTTTGGAATTCTTGAAAGTTCTCCTTAACAAATGTCATATCTTTGTTATGACTTATGACAGGTTTTAATAGCTAAAATTGAAGAATATGCTCCTGTAGTATACACTCCTACAGTTGGACTTGTTTGCCAGAAATACAGTGGATTGTTTAGAAGGCCAAGAGGGATGTATTTTAGTGCTGCTGATCGTGGAGAGATGATGTCAATGGTTTATAATTGGCCTGCAGATCAGGTTTGTATTACACACAAATACACTTTCTAAGATCATAAATTTCAAGTTTTTATAATTGAAACACTTTTAATCAAACCTTCTCTCTTATTCAAAAATTTAATCAGGTTGATATGATTGTTGTTACGGATGGAAGCAGAATATTGGGTCTTGGTGATCTTGGAATCCAGGGAATTGGAATTTCAATAGGGAAGTTGGATTTATATGTTGCTGCAGCTGGAATAAACCCTCAAAGAGTAATTTTCACACTGGATTAATCTCACTACTTTAGTGTTCCTCTGAATATATATATTTATGAGTTAAAGGAGGATGCTATAAGCCACAAATAAACAAAGATATGTTGTTATTTCTTGAAAATAGCTACATACTTCTACTTATTTGTTTATTATAACATTATACTTTTGTTTAATCCTGTTATTTTTCTTTAATACATAATCATTTTTTCTTTTTATCAAAACAGGTGCTTCCTATTATGATTGATGTTGGAACCAACAATGAGGCCCTTCTTAAAGACCCTTTGTGTACGATTCTTCCAATACTTTCCCTATTCTATAATCTTCACATATAATTGTAGTTATTTTAATATCTTATATTCAAGATAATGATTAATAGTTCCATTTTTTTTATAGATTTAGGATTGCAACAACATCGTCTTGATGGTGAAGAGTACATTGCTGTTATTGATGAATTTATGGAGGCTGTGTTCACACGTTGGCCCCATGTGATAGTGCAGGTAGTCTTTTCCATCATGAAAATGGTTTAAATTGCTTTTCAAATTTCAATAATGTTAATGAAAATGGATTTTTGTGGGACAATGAACAAATAAGTAATTTTAAAACCTTGTAATTGCCAATTGCAAAATTGATATGTACTTTAATAAAATTTACCAACTGAATTGTACCTTTGATCTTATGCTATAATAACGTAATGTTAGATTAACTTTTGGAGTAAGTTACAAAAATGGTCCCTGTGCTTTTTGATTTTTATCGTATGCAGTCCAAAATCGAAACCTTTTCCAGTTTTGGTCCTGATTTCTAGGTTTCAATGTTTCATATGGATTTTGATACCTGGAACCTAGAAATAAGGACTAAAATGGATATAAAACCTTAAAAATAAGGAGCAAATCAGAAGTTCTATACACCAAAATTGATATGAAACTTTGAAATAAAGACAGAAATTGAAAATGTTTCAGTTTTGAACTAAACATCGTAAAAATTAGAAAGCACAGGGACTATTTCTGTAATATACTCTTTTTTTTTTCACCAGATGTTCTTGAATTCATCAATTTTCTGATGAAATGGTATAAAAAGATGCTAATCACTTGTATTTTTTTTTTTTTTAGTTTGAAGATTTTCAAAGCAAATGGGCCTTCAAGTTACTACAACGATATAGAAATAGCTACAGAATGTTTAATGATGATGTCCAGGTAAACACTTGATACAATTTCATCTTTTTTGTGAAATATATTCTTTAATATAGTTATATAAATAAAATGATGAATCTATGTTCTTATTTCTTAGGCCAAATTCCATAATAATCATTGTAGTGTTTTTTTTTTTTTTAAACCATTGATATAATTTTTCTTTTTCTGGTTTAACCACTGAGAGTTTTTTTTAACTTTATTTATTTTTTCCGGTAATGAATTGCAAAAGGAAATTGGAAGAATATTTTTCTGCTTAAAGTTGGTTTAAAAAAATCAAAGTTTTAATTTTTAAAGCATAAAAAAAATAGGTTAATCTCAAAAAAGACCTTATATTTTGTGTTTTTTCCGGATTAAACCTCAAATTTATTTTTTGCCTGAAAAGACCTTGTATTTTTTCATTTTTTCCAATTTGGTCCTTTTAGTCATTTTTTGCCCAAAAAATTGCAAAGTATGAGGATTTATTTGGAAGCATTTACAAGGCTGATTTTTTTTTTCTTCGGAACAAATTACAAAGTTGAGGGCTTTTTCGGAAAAAAAAAGTGAAATAATACAAGTTTAATTCAGGAAAAAATAAACTTGAGGTTTAATCCAGAAAAAACACAAAATATTATGTCTTTTTTGAGATTAACCCTAAAAAAATTTCAAATTCCAAACGATATTTGTTTTTATAGACTTCAAAGTTTTATGTACTCTTTTTAATGAAAAAAAAAATTTATATCAATGGTTACACCGGAAAAAAAAAAACAAAGTAGAGTGTTTTTTTTTATTATTATTTTTTTTAATAAATAAAATTTGTTATATTTCTTATTATATAATTTGATTTTGCTGAACAGGGAACAGCTGGAGTTGCAATTGCTGGTCTTCTTGGAGCTGTGAGAGCTCAAGGAAAGCCAATGATTGACTTCCCAAAACAAAAGATTGTTGTTGCTGGTGCCGGAAGGTTCTAGAATCTTCTACACATAACTTTCTTTACTAATTAATTATTTAAAAAAAAAACACTGAAATTATGCAACAACTTCAGTGCAGGGATCGGGGTTTTAAATGCTGCTAGAAAAACAATGGCTAGAATGTTGGGAAATAACGAGTTAGCATTTGAGAGTGCTGGAAGTCAGTTTTGGGTGGTTGATGCTAACGTGAGCCACATTTTTATTCATCAATAACTACTATTACTACTAATAATAACAAATATTCTATTTGATTGACCTTTTTTGATTTGATGGATAAATTAGGGTTTGATTACTGAGGAACGTGAAAATATCGATGATGATGCAAAACCATTTGCAAGAAAAACCAAAGAAATTGGGCGCCAGGGTTTGAGAGAAGGAGCAAGTCTTGTAGAAGTGGTACGATTTGAATTTCCTAATTGTACTGTATTTAACATGCATTGTACTGTTACTGATACTCATACTGATACTGATACTGATACTGATGTCAATAAAGACAAAAAGTTGCTGACTTTTTTACCCTACCCAAAAAGTGGGACATGGACCGGAGTGATGTCAATAAGACAAAAGTTGCATTTTTTTTTTTGTCTTATCCAAAAGGGTTAATTTCATAAAAGACCTTATATTTGTGTTTTTTCTAGATTAAACCTCAACTTTATTTTTCTTTTCTGAAAAAAGACCTTGCACTTTTTCATTTTTTTCGATCTATCCATTTTAGTCATTCTTTCCAGAAAAAACTTGTAAAATGTGAGGGGTTTTTCTGAAAAATACTAAAAATGTTGAGGGTTTTTTTCAGATAAAAAGACAAAGTTGAGTGTTTATCGGAAAAATGAAAAAATACAAGGTCTTTTTCAGGAAAAAAATAAACTTGAGATTTAATCCGAAAAAAAAACACAAAATATAAGATCTTTTATGAGATTAACAAAACAACAACACAAAAGTTATAGTTTTTTTATAGGAACCGAGACTTATGCCAATAAAACAAAAGTCTGTGCAAAAGACAAAAATGCCCTCCTCACCAATAATCCAGTCTTGCATACTATTAACTTCAAAATAGCAAATTTGTATACTTATTGATTAAATTTGGCTTTTATTAATCAGGTGCGTGAAGTAAAACCTGATGTACTCCTTGGATTATCTGCAGTTGGTGGTTTGTTTTCTAAAGAGGTATACTTTACAATATAATTAATAATCACTACCCTAAACCCTAAACCCTAATTTTTTTTTTCTAAATTTTATTTAATTTGTGCTGAATGTTCAGGTATTAGAAGCACTTAGAGGGTCAACTTCAACAAGACCAGCAATATTTGCAATGTCAAATCCCACAACCAGTGGTATGCATTTTGTACTCTGGGAGATAAATATAATATTAATTTTTTTTTAAAAATTAATGTATATTTTTATTTTTATTTTATTATGATAGCTGAATGCACCCCTGAAGAAGCATTTTCTATTGTGGGAGATAACATTATTTTCGCAAGTGGAAGCCCATTTTCTGATGTGAAACTTGGTTTGTTTTCTACTTAATTTCTTATATTTTTATTTTTTTCAAGTAAAAAAATCCCATTTATTTATTTCTATATTTTATTATTTACAGGAAACGGACATATTGGCCATTGCAACCAGGGAAACAATATGTATCTCTTTCCAGGGTTAGTTTTTCCATTTAAAAAAAAAAATCACGTATTTTTATTTTTTATTTTTTTTAAAATTACTTCTAATAATCACTAAAATTTTCACAGCATTGGCCTCGGTACTCTTCTTTCTGGCTCTAGAGTAGTCTCCGATGGCATGCTACAGGCTGCTGCTGAGTGGTAATTTTCTTTAATGACAAGGGCATTCACGTCTTTTTACACACTTGAGTAATTAATATATATATATATATATATATATATATATATATATATATATATTTTTTTTTTGTGTGTGTGTGTTCATCAGTCTGGCTGCATATATGACTGAAGAGGAGGTACTTAAAGGAATTATATACCCTTCAATTTCAAGGTATATACATTTATTATTATTATTATAATAATAATTATTATTATAAATATAAAATAAAATTTGTATTTTTTGTTGTTGTGTTGAAGCATACGTGACATAACAAAACAAGTAGCTGCTGCGGTTATCACTGAAGCAATAGAAGAGGATTTAGCAGAAGGATACCGCGAAATGGATGTTCGTGAGCTTCGTAAGCTAAATAAGGTATTTTTGAAATTAAAAAAATTATATATTTTGACATATATATATATATATATATTTTATAAAAATAGTTTTTTAAGTCTTGGCAAAGTCAATAAAATAATCATTTTGAAATTGTATCGTTATTTACAGGATGAGCTTCTTTGCTACGTGGAGAACAGTATGTGGAATCCGGATTACCCGACGCTAATTTACAAAAAGGATTAAAAAAAAAAAGGAAAATGATTGGTGAAAGTTTGACCTTTCTGTTTTGTATTTAGAACTCTATATATTATTTTGTTCATTTGGAAACACGTGTAAAATAAACGAGTTTCTAATCCTTTATGTTGGTGAGTGGTGACAATGCTACATCTTGTTCTTGAAAATCGATGCACACATGTAATAGGTTTTGCTTTTTTACCTTTTTAATTTAAGTAATCGAGTAAACTAGTGTTTAGTTATGATTTATTGTTGGAAATTGAGGTAGAAAACATGGGTTGGTAATAAAAAAATTATGGATATAAATCATATAATATCGTATGATCACTTTTTGTATTCATATTTCTCTGTTATATGTTTGGGTTATTGGAAAATTCACCTAAGGAAATTTATATTTTATGTTTTTCGTTTGTAATTTCCGTGAGATCATGCGTTGCACTTGCACTTGCAATGTATAGGTATATGCGTTGGGAAATAAATGATTAATATTTTGTCTAAATGTTTTGAATTAGCAAGTTCATTATTGATTTAGACTTGCTTTATGTTTTAACATATTATTATGAAATGGTAAACTTGACAAATGGCTTGGGGTTTTGAAAAATGTATTGTGATTTGAAAGAGAGTCCTTTGAAATGTTAGTGTGTGAAAAAGAAATGATTCTGAAAGTGAAAATTTTGGAAAAATATATTCCATTATGATATTTAAAAGCATATATGGTGTCTACAACGCTCATGAGACATATATCTTACGTATTTTTTTATGACGTGTTTCAGGTGCTGAGTCGAAGTAAACGGATTATATCCTTAAATTGGATGCTTATGATGAACATAGATGATTCGTGAGTTACCAAGGAGTAAAGTAGTAGTTTATGCATTCGAACTTAGGTCGCTTTTGTATTATTGTGATTCACTATAGCTTTTGATGCTTCTGTAACCCCCATATTGAACATATTTATACACGTATTATGATTTTGAGACCTTGTTTCATTTCATTTGAACATGACATTATTGGAAATAATGTCGATTAATTAGGCTAATTTTCGAAGTTAAAAAGAGGGTATCACAAAACAACTCAAAATTAGTTGGAGACCGTAAATCTTACAAATATCATACCCAACAAACATAGCAAGTTGGAAAACTCGGTTGATCGAGCCTAAAAAACTTAGTTGGATGAATTTAAGCTTTCATCATAAAACTATAGTTGCCAAAATGCAATGAAAAATGAATACAATGCACTAATGAGAAATAATACTTGGTCTCTTGTTCTGTGTCCCTCTAATGTCAATATTGTAGGTTGCAAGCGGATATAAAGGGTCAAACACAGATCTGTTGGTCGATTGAACGTCACAATGCAATGCTAGTCGCTCAAGGTTTCAGTCAAGAAGCAGGAGTAGACTATTTTGAGACTTTCAATCCAGTTATAAAACCAACTACTATTCATTTAGTGTTGTTGATAGCCATCTCAAATCACTGGCGCATACGCCAATTGGACACCGATAATGTCTTTTTAAACGGGGACTTGCTTGAAACAGTTTATATGAGATAGCTATGTGGCTTTGAAGCTGTTCATAAACAAAATCACGTATGTCACCTGAACAAGGCTCTTTATGGGCTCAAATAGGCCCCCAGGGATTGGTTCACTAAGCTAAAAACATATTTAGTCCAACAAGGGTTTCATGCATGTCAATCATACAACTTTTTTCATGCATCACTCCTTATCCATTGTCATCTATATCCTTGTTTACATGGATGACTTGATTATCATATGTACCAATCCCACTCTCAATCAGAAATTCATCCAACAACCTGATCAAGTATTTGCTCTCAAATATTTGGGAGACTTACACTACTTCCTGAGAATACAAACAACTCGCTCCAACAGTTCTCTTACCTTACATCAGCAAGGATATATACTGTAACATCCTGTATCGGGTCGTCCGAGATTAGGGTTGTGGGCTGCAACCCGAGCATGAGGAAGTCTCAGGGATTGCGACGAGTTGCTGGAAGCGTAGAGCATTGTCACACCCCCAAACCGGAACGGCGGAAACGTTCGGGGGTGGATGAGTTCATGTGGTAACGTAACAAATGAATACATAGTAAAGAAATCAGTATACAACCATCATATATATAATTGAAAGTTTACATTGTTTAAAAGTGTACATGTTCAAAATCAATTACAATATGATGTCAAAATATGAAATTAAACTCGCACCGCAGCGTCCCTTCTCCAAAATCCGTTTGTTACCTGTAATTACTGAATCCCTGGGACATACAAGTAGTTTTGAAAGAGTAGATCAGCATTTAAGCTGGTGAGTTTCATAAGTATTTAATGACAATGTTTGTATGAAATGAAATGTTTTTGTTCCTTGTTTGCTTGTTCCTAGAAAATCCTATATTTTCTACTAGTATAAATGTAGCCTTCTTTTAAGACCAATGTTTGTTTCTAGTAAATGTATGCACGTATAAAATTTCCAATACGTCTAAAAAACCCCGTAAATCATTGTGTTTTTAATACTCCATGTGAGTTTTATAACCATGCTATTGACTAGAAATGCCTATACACAACGTTCTTCAGGCGTTGGAATGTTCTAACGTTTGTCACCCCAAATGGTGGCCTGTAGCTAACAGTCAGGGCGCGGGTTGTCAAGCCCGTATAGATCTATACACAAACACCATGCTCCCCCTCCAAGGGATTCTGGTATATAATACAGGACTTGAAATGTGTACTCGAACGTACGTGAAGTTAATGTCTCACAAAACTTAGCATAAAACTGATTTACGTGTGAAAACGTTCGTTCGTTATTGTATATGAAAGTAGCTTCTTGAAATAGTATTTCCATGTATGTAAAAGTTCGTAGTATTCTTGTAAAACTGTACCTATTATAGTTTCCTAAAAGTGTGCTTCATTTGTAAAATAAACCCTTAGTGAAAATGTTCACTTGTTATGAAAAGTGTAGTTTTTGTAGTGCCAAAACCGACACACAGAAATGTAATATAAGCAAAGTATCTGATTTATATAAATACATAAATCGTTTCTCATTTCAAAAGATAAAATGTTGTTGTGGTATAATTTGCATATGAAAGTTTCCTTATAATAGTTTTAAATCACGTGTGATTTCTTTGATAGAACGCGTATAGTCAAAGTTTATATAACACACGATAATAATCGAGTGTTTTACTTGTATTCCCCCCCTTAAAAGCATGTAAAAGTACTCTTAAAACATTTAAAAGTGTGAATTATAGGGGTATGAACTCACTTGTAAGATCGGAGGTTACGGGATGAAAACCGGACAGAATTTCGGCTTGAGAAAGTGGATTTCCTCGGGATTCTCGGGAATCTCGGGAGCACAAACGACCTTCGGGACTCGAGCAAAGTGATCGGGGCTTCGGGGTAGTACGGGCACGGAAAACGAGGCAAGATCGTAAGAGAAATGGGGTGTTTTTCCCGGAACCCTCGCATCTCTATTTATAGGGGTCTGAGAGGTCTCGTTACGTGGGGCGTACGAGCGTACGCGGGGCATATTCGTGCGTCATGCGTGACCGAGTCCTCGACTGCCTCGGCTTCGGATGGGACGGGTCGGGGTAGCTCGCATAGGGGCGATGTGGACGAACCGAGGCCAAGGCCTCGCGTTCGCTGGGTGTACGGGGTTACACGGGGCGTAACTCAGCCCTATCTGGTGACTCCTCTTCGGATAATATCAAGAATTTTTAAATAAATTTATATATAAATTATTTAATAGACTTCAAAAATTCATATCTTCTTCATACGAACTCCGCTTTCGACGTTCTTTATATCCACGCGAAGGTGAGACCATACTCTACAACTTTCGTTTAGATTCCGTCGGCAAATTCCGAAATTATTTTTATTATTTATTTTTAAAAGGTCGCGGTAAGAAAATTTCTTTAGAAATTCATAACTTCTTTATCCGACGTCGGTTTTTGCCAGACTTTTTACCGCTGAAATACCATTGTTGAGACCTTTGATTTGAGTTTTTAGCCATCTGCCGTTAAACCGAACTTGAAAAATTCCTAACTTTCTTATATGAAGTCGGATTTGGGCGTTCTTTTTACGTACGATCATGGTTTTGATGACTTCTAACATAATAGGTAATTTAATTAGTGATTTTTGGATATTTTATTTTCGAAGTTAATTTTATTACAACTAACGTGGTTACAATACTTGACTTTTTAGGTCGTTTACATGTAGTTGAAATAGCAGGCTGCACAAGCATTTTTACACCTTGCCGAGGACATGAGATTCATTGAGAAACGAAGTTATATCGAGGAAGCAATGGAAGTTTGAAGTTATGGCAGGATAAGTCCTTTAATTAAAAAAGGTGGCAGCGGAGTACGTTGGGCGTACGTGTGTGTACGCTTAACGTACTCATGTGAGTGACTTTTAAGCGGAGCCACCTAGTAAGCTGGGTGTACTAGGCACAAAAGTAAAACCCTAATTGTGAGGAGTATCCCCTATATAAAGAACGAGATGGCCTCATTCCTGGCCACCATCCTCAGTCCATAAACCCTCTAAAACCCTAATCCTCGTTCTTGTGCTTGTGTGTGGCCATGGGGAGCTTTTAAGTGTCTTGTGGGATTATTGGAGTGAAGAAGGAGCATGGAAGAGAATAGAGTTGGAACCTAGGCTTTGGATCTGAGCTTTTCTGTGGTTGGAGCATAATTTAAAGGTATAAAGCTCAAAGCTTTCCCATCCTTTTGTTTTGTGCATGATATGGACCATTTTAGGGTTTTTTGTCCCAAAGCTTGAGGCTTTATGAGTTGTTACACTCCAAAGCTTAATATCTGTCCTTTTAAGTGTTTCTAGTGGAGAGAATCCATAAAGATGAGGTCTTGAATGTGAGAATCAACCTATGCATGAGATATGAGCATTTTGAGTTAAGAGAGTAAGAGTTTTATGTGTTTGTGACCCAATCAGCTATGCAAAGGCTTAAAGTCACTGACTTTATGGAATAAGAGCTATAAGGGAGTCCAAATCTAAGAAATGAGCTAAGGTCTTAACGGGTTAAGACCAGGAGAATGGGCTAGTAAAAACTGAGCGTACGCCCAGTACGCCCCGCGTACTGGGTTGGTGTTCCCGATCAGTTTCATGCATGCGTGAGTATGCTGAGCGTACCAAGGGAGGTACGCCCCCGCGTAACCTCACTGTGGACTTTTGGGCTAAGTCTCATATTTGAGCCTTGAGGGTTGGGCCTGGATCTTTGGACTTAAGTATTAGTGACTTTGATCAGAGAAATATTATATTGTGCTTTGGGCCCTTGGGTTGGGCCTATCGTTTAGATTGAGAATTGGGCCTTGGGAGAGCTCATCAATTATTTGACCTTGGTAGGCCTAATGGGTTTTAGGTAATTGATGGGCTGGTTAGTGGACTACCTTTAGACCTAATGAGTGAGAGTATGGGATTAGTTTCTAATTGGGATATTTGTGGGTTTGGCACAGAGTTAGTGGCCAGTGCTAGCAACAACGTTTATAGAGGTTGTTCATCATCCGAGGTGAGTCTTCTCACTATACCTTACCATGAGTGGTATTTTGTGTGACAGAGATGTCTTATGTGCTTATCTGTGTATTGGGATACCCTGCAGTATTTCTTTGTGATTTACGATGTGTATTATTCAAAGTTTACAACGTTAGGATCGGAGGGTCCATAGAGTTAGGACCAAAGGTTCCATCATAATTGTGGGACTGGAGGGTCCCATTGAGACACATTGACCGGAGGGTCTTATTGAGTTATAGCCTTGAGTGGCTAATGTGTTGTTTGTGGTATTTTGGAGAGCTCACTAAGCTTCGTGCTTATCCTGTTATGTGTTATGTGTTTCATGTTCTTATCGGGATCGCGGGAAGGCATCGACTTGATTGTACACACCAGAGAAGGAGTTATGTTTGAGGATCCTGGATTATTAATTAAATAATTACGGAGATGTGTTTTGTAAATTAAATAAATGGGGATTTCCAGAAATGTGT